ATCACACTTCTTGGGTAACTTCACCCTTGGGAACTGTTTCCACAGCAAAACAGAGGTTACAATAAAACCCCTAGTGGGTTTGTCCAGCACAAATAAGAAGAGCAGTAAGGAGACAGTGTCACGGGAGTTAACACGCAATTAGCAGTCAGTGTTATTTTTCTCTGGTTGCCTACAGTGGCTAAAGCCTAAGTCAGCAAATATTAATTGCTATTCTTCCCTGCAGTAGCTAAATTAAACTAATGCACTTATGCAGTTATTCTTCTTTACCCCATCTCCTCTGACAGCATTATCCAATGCAGAAGTGAATAGTAATTAGCAGCAACAGTCTTGAAAGCATACGTTACATTACAAAGATGTGCACTCTATCATAAAGTCAGCTAGCTTGTCTTCGGTTTTCTTACTATAGTTGCTGGGAGCTGTAGACATTACATCTTCCAGTGCAGAGAGCTTATTGAAAATCACTTCTTTATACAGACAGCACTTGTATGAGCAGATGTATATTCTAAGAACACTGTCAGTGGCTGTCCTTCACTGAAAATTTGCACCCATGCTATTCAGCACGATTGATTTGAATCTGTGGTTGTACTTTGGAAACAGTATGTGTTCTATAAATAAGACTTAATTGTGCAGATGTGGATTAAAAAATAGTAATTAATACTTTACCTTATTGGAAGTTACGTGTCCAGACGCCCAAAACACCTATCTGAAACACTGAAAAATGCATCCCCAAAGGACAGAATTAATCTTGCCATCTGAAATGGAGATGTCTAGTCTAAGCTATTTGGCCTGTTGTTTGTCTCTGCTCTGTTGTCAAGGGAGATGCATCTCCACAGAGTGATTTGTCCTGTCCTAAGAGATGCATCTCTGGCTCTCAGGAATGATCATCCTCTGAAGATGCTAATCTCTTTCTACTCACTGCAGGAGGAATTCTGATAACTAGATGAATCCTGCATGTACTGTGGATCCAGCTGTGCACGACTGACTGATAGTGGTTTTCACTTAGCTAGGTTTTCTCCTTTATTAAAAAAAACTTGAGGTCTCTGTTAGCAAATATCAAATATTAATAGTACTTCAGAACTCCTACTTGCAAAACCAGAAGTCTAGTTAAGTATTAAGTATTGCAAAATAATGGTCTACATTTTTACCTTTTGTTATAGTCTGATGAATTTATAACTTAAAAACTCTTTTAAAATTATCTGAAATGATACTGATACATCATATCAACTGCAATGGTACGTTTCAACTAGATTTTTGCTTTCTTGTTCAGACAACTTGCTTTTGTTTGAATATTCTTTTTCTGTAAATCTGAATAGCAGAGCAAAGACCTTATTTACTACAGCATACTTAACATTCAACTCTGAAAGGAGTAATACATTATGTGTTCACTTACCACAGGATTTAAAAAAGGCAACGAGAAGTGAGTTGTGTAAGATGTGAGTAATTTTATGAAAAAGCTGCCACTGGCTATATTATACATCTATGTAGCTTATAAAACAAAGCAAATTATTACCATCAATTATAATACCATCATTTTGACAACTCTGCAATTAATTCCCTATGCTTAAATAACTACTGTTGCATAGTGCCAAAGAAAATACCATGCATTAAATGACTCATCACCAGAGTCTGTGATAGTTAGTACAGATGGTAATTTGATTATTCATCCTCAAGAAAATAAGTGCTTTATTATGGAAAACTATTCATTTTGGTCTTTTGAAAGAATGGAAACAGGGATACCTAAAATATATCTGAAAATAATCCTTACAGCAATATATAAGTTATTCTGAAGCATTATTTTACTTGTTAAGATTTGTGGGGTGGAGTTGCATGCTAGATAGTTCACAGGCATGGCACCAGCTGCTGAAGGATGGGGTACTACAAAACCCATGCATCTCTTCTATGTAAAAATGCTCCTACATAGGAAGAATGGAAAGATTCTGCTTTGCCTCTCAGAAAGTCTGCAAACTTTACTATACATCTTGAAAAAATACTCCATGTATGAGACTAAAACATTTATCCAGCAAGAGTAATAGGTTTTCCTGCAATAGCTATCAAGATGATTAAATTATGGTATTTTCTGGGACAATTACAGACGTGTATTTAAAATACAAAATGAGAACCTCTTCTGCCTGGTTTTACTTGTGGAGTTAACTTTATTTTTTGAGCAGATTAACAGACTTCTTTGGAACCATCTCTAAAATTAGCTATCACCTTACTTTTACATGAATCAAAGGCAAAATGATACTCAATGTAAAGTGTTATGCACTAGTGAGTAGCAAAAGCAGCACTTTTTTAAGAACTTGAAGTACTTTCAGTATTACTTTGTGGTTAATCTTGTATTTGCATTTAGTAGGGATATAAAGGACCCATCAAAATATACTTGATTACCTTTGTAAGTAAGCACACATGAGGATACAGGATGTCTATGCATACAATCAATACAGCAGTTTCATTTTTAGAGATCAGGGGGTTTTTTGCACTGCATGGTGAGGAAAAAGGGAATTCCCTGATTTTTCAGAATGGATAAAGGGAAACGATTTTTATGAGTACAAATTAGTTTGCAAATAACTTCAGGCAGAAATGGAAAGTGAGTAATTCATACTGGTTCATTTGTAACTCCAAATACATTGACATACCTCCCCAGAGAAAGCCTGTCCATTGAGTAGGTGCTCTGATCCCTGGCTGTCTTCACTTCCAAAGTGTAACCGGATTTCCTCTAAGCGGTGACTATATGTCATGGGTCCTCCAGAGATGTTGACCAAATGCTCTTTGTCTAATCGTAGAGATACATGTCTCCCTGTATTATACATTGTCCCACTGACCTAAACAAAGTGAGGGGGGGAAAAAAAAGCATTTTTTCAAAATCATTTGTAAATCCTAGAAACTCGTTACATGTATGTCAAGTTCTTTTTACACACCTTCATTTAAATGCAGCAATACATCTTGTTGTGAGATGAAATACACAACCTGAGGTTATACTTCAACTTCTGCTTTGAATCTCATACTGTATATTCAAGTATTTTGCTAAATCCATATGTATATATTTTAGCCAGGGGCACATGGTTAACACAGAGAATAAGATTTTAATACTTCTAAATAAGTAGGCTTTTAGAATATTTTTAATGTAAGGTCTGAATAATGGCTTCATTACAAAATTTCTGCACTGAAAATGGGAACATTTCAGCTGACATAAATTAAGTACATTTGAACAAATCTGAAATTTAACTCATTTTTTTCCTCCATTTAATATTTATAACAAAGTTATACAAAACTAAAGATGCTACAAAAAGAAGAGATATAATTATTCATAAATAGGGAGACCTACTCCTGGAGCTGCAGGTAAAGACTCTTCATTGTCCTCCTCCGCAAGTCTCTTTGTTTTGTTATTAATATTTTATGTTTACAATTGCCAAACATTTTAACCATAGCAATACAGAATTAATTACAATTTGATCATACATCTCTAGTTCCTACTACACCTCAAATAGCTGTAATGCTCTTCAAGATTCATCTTTATTTTTTAAAAGACTGTACGTTATGCTTCATTTGAAAAACTGATTTACAACTGCTGTAACAAAAAAGAAAATTATTGTGGAAATTTTTCATGTGGAATATGATTCCACATGAATTTTTACTGCCATAGGAAAAGTTCCTATAGCAAGAGGTTCCTTAATTTATGCCATTAGAAAGTGAAATATGCCAGTTTGGGTTAAGGTAGAATTGTGATTTATTCTGCATGCATACAAATGGTACACTTCAATAATTTACTTTAAGAAGAGGAAGTGTAGCAATAATATGCTTTGTTGCACTTCAATTTAAAATTAAAGACATGACTATTATGTATTATATCCTGTACTACATCAGTACTATAGTAATTAACATTGCTGCAGTGTCATTTTATCTGTAATACTAATTACTGAGTTTAAATGACCTGTTTTCTTGCACAGTATGTTGTAAAAAGTTACACTGAACAGACTGTGCAATAGAACTAAATGGATGAGATTAAGCAGCTTTTGATTGTTGTGACTTTTTAAACTTTGATAGAGATGTTCTATTTTTTGTTTATGCCAATTCAAAATAAGCAGTAATAAATTTCTTATGAAAAGTAATAAACACAAATATTCCCATTCATTGCAAATAAAACATAATGATCTTATTTATAAATGCCTTTTAGTTTTTCTGCTTGACTTTGCATACATAATAATTAAATACTAAGTTCACTTTAATAGGTAGAAGAAGGTCATTTTATTGAATTCCGTTTCAGTACACTGCATATGAATGACACAAAATTGCTAATCATAAGTAACAAATGTAGTTTAAAAACAAATAGGGGAAAATGGTTTAAAGCCTCTTATTCACATTTGGAAACTCACGCTTCACTGAACACTCAGTTAAACTTAGCAACTACGCAAAATATTCAGAATCCATTTTCTTACTTAAATTGGTACAAATCTCAAATTAGGGTACCATTATTTTCTCTCTCAAGGTAAAAGTGACCCATATAACCCCTGATATGAATCAAATAACTCTCTGTAGAGCAGAGAGGGGAAATAATAAGAGGCAAATTAATGAACAGGAGTAACATTCGTCTTTCTCATTTCCCCCCTCAGAAAAATGCAGTGCTTGTAATGAGGTTGTATTGACTGTGTTAAAACAGAATTTCCCTATGTAACTGCAGATAAAGAATACCAGTAATGCAACTTGAAGTGAGGCTATAAAAAAAAAAAATCTCCTGCCTGGGGACACAAGTTGTCACCAGGAAGGTCAAAATCCAAGATCTTCAATACAAAACAATTGCCCTTTTATCTGCCTTCTTAGGTTTAAGTGAAGTATGGGTTTTCTTGTGAGTGGGCGCCTTCAGGGCATGCCCATGCCTCTTTCTTTTTCTTGAGAGTGGCAACATACACCTCCGTTACTCACACTTCTTTTATGGGCATTTGCTTACTCCCAGAAAAACAGAAATATCTTATATTTGCCATCTGCTCAGATGACATTTGAATGCAAGATTGAATTTTTTTTATTATTTTTTTTAAATTTGTGGAGACTTTCTCACTTGCCAAGATTGTATAGTAGGCTGTGCTTGATTATGGGAAGTACCACCGCAACGCTATGTGAAATTCTTTATTGTGGTTCAGAGTATTGTCTGTTTTGCATACAAACCCACTACCTTACCACCTTTAAAAGCATACATTTCAAATATAACCATTTACAGTTGTAGGACATAGTATCACATAAGTGCACTCACCTTTTAAAAGTATACAAATGTATTTTACTCAGTAGGAAAGTACAAAAAAACAATGCAAGGAAAAATAAAGGTTGTCTTCCATTGTTTTCAGCAGAAAACAATGCATTGTCTCTTCACTATGTGCAGTTTTAACTGCTACTGGAGAAAAAGAAGGTTCTGATTTTATTCACTATGGGGACCTAGTGATAAAAGAAGGATTTTCTGTATTTTATGGTACTGAACCTTTAAGGTGATGGTGCACTCTCATTTTAGAACATCAAACTGAGTTGCTTTTGTGGAAAGCAAAGTTGCATGTTGTGTTGTAAAAGGTCATGGGCGCAGAAGTTAACGAGGAGATATTTTCTGTATTTTGTACACTCTCCTACAAGATAAACGGCATGAAGACAGGGGCACCTTATGGGAAAGATGTTGACTCTGCCTTGTACAGTCAATGATATCTGGTACTCCAGAAAGCAGAGAATTTATTTTTTTATACCATTCTGTGGAATGGATAAAATGTTACAGGATAGGTTAAAAACATAGAAAGGCTGGTTGTTGTAGGAAACCTGCTTTGGCAGGGAGGTTGGACTAGATGATCTCCTGAGGTCCCTTCCAATCCCCACCATTCTGTGATTCTGTGAAAAGATCTGTTAAAATCTATGTAACTATTTTCTTAATGTGTCAGATTAATCTTTGGTGCTAAGTCTTTTATAGTGATGGCCTTTATGCTGCTTCTTGCTTTCCTATTAGGTAGCCTTTTTGTTTTGTCTTTCTGTTTGACTTGAAAGTTGAAAACATAGCAAATGAGCTTGGGGGGTGGGGCTGGAAGAGCACTAAATCTTGCCTTCCTTTTTTTCAAAAGGATCAAGATTCCCATTTATCTTATGTAATAGGAATGAGACTGCAGTAAAGAAAACATATATTAAAATGTCAGTAAAAGCCTGTCTGAGAAAACAGCTAAGTCCAACATTGTTGAAGTTAATGATCATACCGCACTTGTAGTTGATCCCATTTTTCTCATATATTAAGAAATACTACCAAACAGGTAATTTTACCTGTGGCAAAATCCCCAAGTAGAACAGAGCATGTTGATGGGCTTCAACCTTAATTGTGGAATAGTTCAACTTTGGTAGACTTTAATTAAATTATTAACATATTCCTGATGTAGTTATTTTCTATTTAATCTCATTCATTTTAATTTTTGCTTCACAGAGCTTTGTGCACATAATTCCCCAGCAGCATTATTCTCTCTCTTTATCTTGATGCAAGACAGCCACACAGGCACATGCTGCTAATATATTCTATACTACAGTTCTAAGCAAGATCTGAATACTCATGTGGTATCTGTGTACAACTTGCTGGTCCTGTGATCACAAAAAAGTCCCAGTTCTTGTCTTTGAAAGTCAATAAAACAAGCAAAGTCAATAAAAATGCATACCTAATAAACACAAACTCTTTGATACACGTTTATCTTGAAACTCTACAGACCTTTATGACCATTAGGAAAAAACAAAAAACAAACAAATGCTGAAACACATTATTTTTTTTCCTAATGATGTTCTTTAACCCTGCATTTTGTTGTGTCCTAGTTAACTGTGTATCTTGTTCCCTTCGTCTTTACTTCCACAACTAGTTCTGAATTAAATATTTTTCAGAACTTCCTTTGTGGCCTACATCTTTATATTGCAGTCTGTGTTAAAATAGCCTTCAAAACACTCAGATGAAGTGACAGAAAAATAAGTCAGTTTGAGGGTGAAACCATGCTAGAAATTTAAGCAGGGAGTGCAAGAGGAAAGGAGAAGGAGCTGAGATGGAATTTTTGCCTTTCAATCCCAAGCTATGTTAGTAGTTCAGTGTCATCTTTCTTCAAGGGATAGCACAAGCTCTCAGCTTCCTAGGGGCCTTTACAAAACAGTGCATTTTAGATTTATTCAGTTAAGAGTTGTCTGAAGATTTAGTTCCAAGAACATTTTTAAACTTGTATCAGTACCTGCCAGTGGAGCAGGACTGAATGTAAGGAAGCAAGAAAATCAAATGTGTATGGCTGCCTGCTGTGGTGTCCTTGGATCTTATCTGCCATATTAGATGTTCCTTTCTTTAGGATGAAAATAGATACAGTCAAAAGAGGGCCTAGCACTGCGTTAGGCAAGCAAATCACCAAGGACTGAAGAGTGTTTTGAAGGTGTCGTAGTGCCCCAGTTTTATATCCTGCAATAACCAAGTTTCTATCATCTGCCACCTGGCTTCCATATTTCCCCTTGGAGCCCTATCCTCCAGCAGAACAGGGAAGTGACTCTGCAGGCTGAGGGAGTGGTGGGATTCCCTCCCCTGTTAGCACCACCTGAACTACTAATGCCACATACTTTGTCATTACCTTTGGTTTCCGTCATTTGGCATCCACATCTCAACGCAGTGGGTGGCCTGGTGAGTGCAGCACGGATCCTGAGGGACCTGTAATGTGCCATTGATTTTTCTGCTCAACTCCTCTCCCTAGCAGGTTCATGGAGGCAGAAGTGCTCCATGGAAACCTTAAAATATTAACACTAATATTAAATTGGTCCTAGCATCTGCCATTTGGGGCCTCAAAGTGATTAATAA